CACTGATGCGGTTTCCGTACTGAATATGGCGACCGGCGTAGAGACCGCGTTTGGCTCTTCCCATGACGACTTTGGAATCAGGAACACAAGCTTTGAGCTTCTCTTTCAGCTCCGGCGTCAGAGTCTCCGCTCCAACTTTCTTCACAAGCTTCTTCATCATCTCTTTCCCTCTAAACGCCATTTTCGTTTCTGACAGATCGCGAGAAAAAACCTCTTCTTCCCCAAATGCTCTCGGCTCTGTATGCTTGACCTTGAAATGAAATCAAAATTCGGTTTAGCCAACGGTTTAACTAAACCGGAAAAAATTGTATTTCGCCTTCATGATTCATCGTCGCTCGAATCAGATTCCGATTGATAATCTTTACTTCCTTATAATTTCTATACCCAAATGAATAAAGATCGAATCTGAAGTCAAATTAAGACAAAACGGAAAACAGAATCGAAGAGAAGCTAACCAAGCCACATAAACGGTCCAGCCACGACGGAGAAGATGCAGAAATGAAGCTTACGATGACAGGAGTCGATGTTTCGGCCGGCGATGAGGACCGGCGTCGATGTAGCGATCGTGTTGCCTCTTAGGGTTCTTGAGTTTTGAAGTGTTGGGCTTTTTTTCGTTTCGGTATTTCGTAAGGCCCAAATTAACTCCTCCCTTACGGTTCGGTTTTATCGGTTCTAATTTCTCTCAATCCGAATAAACTCAACTCGGCCAATAAAAACAGAACTGTACCAAAACAGAAATTGCACAATTTAGAAGATGTTTTGCCAGTGTTTCGGTTAAATAGTTAAAAGATCCATAATGGATGCACAATTTAGAAGATGAAAAACTTGTGTTTATGTATATGTTGCCGGCTTTTCTGTTTATATTAATAGTTTTTTCTGGTTCACTTGTAGTTTTTTTTTTTATCTATTTAGTGTTACAACATGCTCCATATAGTGTTACCACTATTGAAAAAAATGTTCATGTGCATATGAATTTTAAAACAATATTTTGATATAAGAGTTAAACTTCAATGAATTTATTTGGTTCAAATGTTAAATTCCATCCCAACTTTCTCCCATATGTCCGTACATTATAGTATATTGCAAGGCTAATTTTAAAAAGAAAAAATGACTCAAATCCCATGAAACTATGCGAATATGACTAGAATACCATATATCTTTCAAAAATGACTCAAATATTTTCACATCCCTGGTTAATTACGATAAA